CTCTCCCCTCCCCCCCCCCCTCCCAAATCTATTTTTTACCTTAAGTTTTTCAAAGGTCTTTTAAACATTTTAGATTATCAATTTGACTTATAGTACTTTTTATGTAGTTTACAAATATATAAATTTTATTTCAAAAAATTTGAAGATTTTCATGAGCAAATTGTCGGTCAAACTTAAACTGTTTGACTCTCGAAAAATGAAAAGTGTCACATAAATTGGGACAGAGGGAGTATTTTTTTTTGGGACAAGGCACAAGTATCCCCTTAGACTATGACCGAAATTTCAGAGACACATCTTAACTAAACTAAGGTCCTATTACCCCCGATCTCATTTTTTTTTTGTAATTTTATAAACCTTTTGGCTTACGTGGCACACACCATGACTCCACGTAGTTGAAGTGCTTGAGAGATGTTTGGATGCCACATAAGCTAAAAAAGTGTACAAGATTATTTTTTTTAAAATGGTTCGAGGGGTAATATGATATTAGTTTAGTTAAGATATGTCTCTGTGATTTCAGTTATAGTCTAAAGGGATACTTGTGCTTTATTTCATTTTCTTTTAAAATTATAAAAACTGATGACATCAAAATCAGACAAACAAATTAAAATCGGAACGACTACCTATCCCATTAACAATGGCAGTGACAGCAGAGCAACCGGGTCCACCAGATAGCCAAATCAAAAGAGGATCGGTAGTAGGCTCGGATTCTGATTCCAAAAAATAGTAGAAAAGTTGCAACTCCTCATCTTTACCAACTCCAACATACCTATTTAATTAATAATTAATTACCTTGTCATATAATTAAATTAAAATAAAATAAAATAGGACTAGAAGGAGTAGTAAATGAAATGTATTACTTTCTATTAAGGGTTGCGTATCTTTGATTCGATTTTGTTTTAAGGTTTATTGGGTCGATTTATATTTGTAGATTAAATCGTTAAGAATTATTATATATTGATTTATTGATTAACGGTTTATCGATTATTGATTATAATCAATTCGGTTATCGATTTAACCATTAAGATTTGACATAAAAAATAAAATGATTAAAACTCATTTAGAAACATGTTGAACAACCAAATAAATCATGCATATAAGTTGATAGATTTTATCTTGCTAAAAAACAACACAGAAATAAACTATGAAACTAAGAGCATGTTTGGCATTGCTGATCAAAACTGCTTATTTGTAGAAGCATTTTGTAAAAATAAGTTTTCAGAAAAATGCTTTTGAAAGAGAAACAATTTTTGTTTGACTAATTCTTTTGAAAAATGTTTTTGATAAACAAATTGTGTTTGACTAATATTTTTAAAAAGTGCTTATGAAAGTCAAATTACGATAAAAGGCAAGTATTAATACTAAGATTATTTTATAGAGAGAAACTATTTTAATATCTATTATAAAAAAAATATTTGATTTTTATTTTTATTAAATTAAAATGTACATATTCAATTTTTCAATTAATATTATACCTTTTTATGGGAGGACTGATATCTTTAATTGTTATTTTTTTCTTCTAATTTTACAAAAATATTGTTCTTACCTTTTTTTTTCTATTTCTGATACAAAATATAAAATAATTATAAATAAATGTAAAATAAAATATTTATTATATAAAAATAAAAAATAAAACATTTTAAATGAAACTTAATCAAACTTATGAGATATGGTAATTAATTATTAAGTGATATATTGATAAATATGTATACCTGGAGGAGATATTTTATTCTTGAAAAAAATAATTTCTGATTTCTACTTCTGAAACAATTTTTTTAGTTTCTTCCCAACATTAGAAAAACTAATTTTTGCTTCTATTTAAAAACAATTTTACTGATTTGTCAAACAATTATTTTTTCACAAAAAGTGATTTTCTCAAAATAAGTGTTTTTGGCCTCCCAACAACAATATCAAACAGGTTCTAAATTCTAAATCAATGACTTCATAAATCGAATGGTATAAATATAATTTATTAATTTACTATCGAATTATCAATTAACCTGTTAAGAAAAAACCTCAACCATTAATAATCAATAACTCGATAATTACAAAAACAAAACCGTTAAATTATACCGATAAATCAATAACTCATTTTTTATTCGTTTTATCAATTTCAATTTGAACCGCCCTACTTTCTATCGATATTACCACCAACCTCCTACAAATCATCTCCACATTGCTATTTATATCTAATGTAGTTATTCTAAAACTTAAAACCAACCAAATTTAAAAATTCAAACTTCACCTCTAATATTGCCACGAAAACATAGTTTTATTTTAGGATAAAAATCTTCTCGTTCTCAAATAAATAAATAAATGCAAACGAGCTCACCCGGTCTCTAGAGGGAACGGGAGGCGTCCCTGCAAACCGGGAAGATACTCAACAGTAGAATGCGAAGCAGCTTGTTGTTGTTGTTGAAGAAGAAGAAGCAGTAGCAGCAACAACTTTTCCATTATTGTTGCTAAATTATCGATACTCATTTTACCAATAAATTACTATTTATCATATATTATTGATGATAAGGAGCCAAGGGACCTCCACGTGGACAAAATATAACAACAATTTTAGGTATGTTCTGGTCCCCGTAGAAGTAATTTTGCTGAATAAGTGGTGCTATACGCAAGTATTTATTAATGCGGCTACAATAATGAGATTAAACTCTCGAAAAAGACTAAACAACTATTAATATGTTATCAATATCTTGGTACACGAAATAAGATAAAATGAACTTGCAAAAAAAATTCTAATTTTAATCCAATGGAATTATAATTCAAATAATTTCAACGGAATTCTAGTTCAGAAATTCTGCTTGCATCAACAAAACCTCTAAACATGCATCAAAACTGCATTCAGAGATCTAAGAAGGGAAATTTATAGAAATTTCACTAGCTTAGGAGTTAATTTAGTTTCTAACATTACAAAGTTTACTAGGTTTTGGTGAGTTCAGATACATATATCTCGGGATATGTAGGATTAAAATTAAGTGTAAATGTGTAATTTATATTCTAGATACACCGTATCCAAATGAATTCACATCTATCTGAAATAGATATATTATCCTATGATCCTTTTGGACAAGTGACATAAAATTAGATTGGTATAAAATTAAATTTTATTTGAACATTCAATTTGAATTTTTTAAAGTGCAAATCCTGATACAAAAATAAATGTGCAAATACAGTCTAAAGCTTTTACAAACGATTCATTTAATTTTCTGCTCCCAAATGTAGTCCATTTACTGTCTCTAAATTAATTATATACCTTTTGTTTTGGTCCGTAAGAATTTTTTTATCTTAAAAGTCCCAATAAGTTTTCTTTCTTCACTTTTTTTTTTTTGGAATTTAAATAGTGTATTTTTTTTATTTATAAATATCTCAAAATGTATATTTTATCATCTAAACATAAGAAGAAATTGTAACTTATCGTATAATTATGAATATCTATATGTTAATTTTGAAACATTCATGAATTAATTTAAGAGCAATTTTCACATATAGCAAACATAAAAATTATATTTGTATGTTATAGCTATAGTTTGTATAATTGCGCTCCATAGCAAATTTTTATGTTTTGATATGGAGCTTTTGATTTGTATAATTCGCTAGATGCATCCAATTTTTATACAAATTGTTCAGTTTTTGTATAAATTCATTTATACATTGTAATTTGTATAATAAGATTTGTATTTGTATAATTATAAGTGTATAGGACGAAAATATATGTATTTGTATTTGTATATACACTTTTCTCTCGCTTTTATACAAATACAAACGCATTTTATACATTTGTATACCGAAAATGGCTAATTGTATATCGAATCAGATGGCAAAAAAATGGGATGTTTGATGCGAATTACAAATAGAATAAACTATGGCTATACCATTTAATTTAAAATTAATAGTTTGTTATTTCATACAATTTTCCCTTTAATCCAAATCTAACTTTAAAGATTGATCAAATTTAACTTTTAAAAAGCAAAAACTACATCATAAATTAAAATATTACATAAAAATTTAATTTAATTTTTTACTTTTTTAAAGTTCATACAAATTTTAAATAAAATAATCAAATAATATAAAATGAAGAGAGCACTAGATTGTTTTATTTGTGGCACATACTTTTCTCTACGTGGATAAAATATAACCACACTACTTTAGTTTAATATTTTAGGTATCCTTAGGTCCCGCAGTAGTAATTATTAATTTTGCTGAATTAATGGGTCATGCAAGCTGGTTAGATGTGTGAAATAGAGGACTCGTACGTATTTGTTAATGTGGCTACAATAAAGAGATTAAATTCTTGAAAAAGACTAAACAACTATCGATCTGCCATTAATAGCGAAATAAGATAGAATATTTGAGAATTAAACTTAATTCTGAAAGAGAAAGGAATTCACTATCAAGCTAGCTAGCAAGAGAAGTAGAGAGATAGATTATATATATCTGTCCAAGACTTTAGCAATTTTAATTTATTTGGGTTAAGATAGATAAAAGGTTGGACATGAGTTTCAATTTGGGAATGACTTGTTTTTAAGAAAAATGGGTAATTTGAACTGATTTGAGGCTTTTCGTTAAATTAGAGATATGGGTGACAAGTTTGTAAATGGAGGGATTTAAATGGCCACATATTATAACGCATGATAAAACTAACAAAGTTGCGGAATATCTCTGATCCTTCTCCTAATAAAATTAGAAAAAATTATTTAAATATACAATTTATTTTATCATGTTCTCTAAAATTTCCTATCACTTGTAAAAGTTACAAAAATCTCTACTCTCTCCTATTCTCGCATACATCATTTTACACGATTTATCGGTCAGATACATTATTTTACATGATGTATCGGTCGGATACATCACTTACGCTATGTATCAGGACGTTGAGTGATGTATCCAAAATCCAATTTGAAAAGCCAGTCCTTTACACCGGAGCTGCTATTTCCGAGTAAAAAAAGGAGTCTTTAGAAGAACACGGATTATCAAATTGGCTCGAGAAATTCAAGCCAGGATCAGTAGTGTTCTGTGCATTTGGGAGCCAATTGATTCTTGAAAAGGAACAGTTTCAACAAGTTGTTTTAGGCTTTGAACTGACTGAGTTACCATTTCATTTAGTCGTTAAACCACCTAAAGGTACAAAATCAGTAGAAGAAGCTTTGCCACAGGGATTCAAAGAGAGGGTTCAAGAGAAGGGAATGATTCTTGATTGTTGGGTGCCACAATTGGAGATTTTAAGACACAAATCAGTTGGTTGTTTTGTGACTCACTGTGGTTATGGGTCGATGTGGGAGTCTTTGGCGCTGTGTGATTGTCAATTGGTACTTTTGCCAAGGCCTATTGATCACATTTTTAATGCTAGGCTGATGGAACAACAACTTAAGGTTGGTGTAGAAGTGGAGAAAGATGAAAATGATTTGTTTACAAAGGCTGTGAAATGTGTGATGGATAAAGATAGCCAAATTGGTTGTCTTGTGAAAGAGAATCATAGAAAATGGAAGGAACTTCTTGTTGGGGTTTATTTGCCCCGATTTCTTACCATAAATAGGTTTTCCTTTTAGGAAAAGGTTTTAATATTTTACTAGTCCTTTTCTTGTAGGAAAGGTTTAGGACTCTATAAATATAGGTTTGTTCCTTCTAACTTAATTAGCATTCACAATGTAGTCCTAGGGTTTTGAGAGTTGCGGTTATGGGGGAGAGTTTTGTGTACCTCCTTGTATTCAGAGTGAATTGTTTGAGGTTGTTTCTCTCCATATTTTGTACTCTCATATTTATAGTGGATTGCTCATCTCCTTTGTGGACGTAGGTCGATTGACCGAACCACGTTAAATCTGTCTCTTTTGGTATATTTCTCGTTTGTCTTCTTACTCATGGTCTTTCGAGGTTTGCTTTGCTAGTTTCCGCGTTACACCTGCTTATTTCGGTCCTAACAAGAGTCCCGGCTTCATGAGTAACTACATTGATAACTTCATTCGAGACTTGCATGGGCTTCTACTTGAAAAGACCTAGATAATTAGCAGGGTGGATCTAATGTTGAAGTTACGGGGTTTGCATAATTCAGTGCATTTTTGTTAAAAAAATTTACTTAATATGTATGAATAATTCATCCCCAACCAATTGTTGTCATGTTTTAAAATTTAGAATTTATAAACTCAAAAACCATGTATCTAGTAAAGTAACTTGCATTTATCGGATGTTTCATGTCGTGTATAGGAGTTATACACCTTTCCCTCGAATTTAGACTTTTCTTTTTTTTAAAAAGGAAAAAAGAACTTTTTTTACCTCTATATACACTTCTGAGTTCTGAACACTCAAAGAAATGTACAAATTTAGATCTAAAATTAAGTTTGGTATATTTTTAACTATGAAAAAGGATAAAAAATATCTCTTATCATATAAAAAATACTCAACCGTGGAATGCGAAGCAGCTTGTTATTGTTGTTATAGAAGAAGAAGAAGCAGCAGCAGCAAAACTGGCAGTTTCAACAACTTCTCCATTATTTCTAAATGACATAAACTGAAAAAGTAGACATACGCATCCTGCGGCATAAGACACGTAGGGTGCCACATAGGACACAAAATTGTCACGTAGGATGCCATGTAGGATGAATGTGTCTATTTATTCGACATGTAAAACCAGAACAGGGAAAGATTTTGTTCACAAACATCTAAAGTTGGTAAAGTTAAGAAAAATTATTTTCAGTAAAATAAAATAAAATAGAGAGAAGATATATAGATGAAAGTGAGGAATATTTATAAAGGATAGTGATTTATCCATCTTTTGAACATAACAAAACATTCTTCAGGTGTGTCTGTGTCCTGATCCCTGTTAAAGAAAAATAAATAAATGCAAAGTTAAATACAAATATAAAATAAAAATAAAGCTCTTTAAATATAACTCAATCTGACTAAATTGATATAGATTAATTATTTCTTAATTTTCATGTAACTTATTTCTACAATTAATTTCATACCTTCACGGTTGCATAAGTCATTTTGTTGGAGTAAGATCTCGTATAACTACAATGATACGATATTAGAAAAATGATTCACAGCAAGAAAGAATTGAATTAGCCTCGGAGAACTGAACTGCCTTGATCTGAATCTCTGGAACTCACAGAAGACCAAGGCAAGTCCACTCTCAATTCAGCATAAGCTTGGGATCTTTCTTTCCTAAAGCATTTCCCTTGAAGCCAGGTCTTTCTTCTCTTCTTTAAAGCCTGGAGCTGGACTTCTTTTTCCTGACTCGATTCACTGTTTAATCACACTAAGTCAGAGCCCAACCAGGGTGAGAGAGATAGGAGAGTAGGGATGGGGAACCAATGTCACCAACAACACTAGCAGTCTCGGATCTTTGAATAGACAGAGAGAGATGCTCTTCCTGCGGCCCAAGAGCGTATTCGTTCAAAGAGATGGCAATGACTTTCTTCCCACCCGGGAATCGTAGTAAGCCGGGAGAAAGACATTCATATATTCCCCAGGCACGGGATAAAGGGAAAGAG